GAAAGAAATTAAAAACCTAAATAAATGGAAAGACGTCTTCCATGAATTGAAGAGTTCAGTATGGTTAAACTGACAATACTCCCAGATTGGTCTAGAGAGTCGACACAATTCCTGTCAAAATCCTAGTTGCCTTTTTTTTTTTTTGGCAAAACCTAGCAAGCTGATCCTAAAATTTATTTGGAAATGTGAAGGACCTAGACCAGACAAAACAATCTTGAAAGGGAAAAACAGAATTGGAGGAGTCCTATTTCCTGATTTCCAAATTTATTGAAAAGTGACAGTAATCAAGAAGGCATGACTCCAGCAATAAGGACAGATATGCAGGTTGATGGAATGGGACCGAGAGCCCACAAGTGAGCCCTTCCGTTTATGGTTAATTGAGGTTTAACAAGGGTGCCAAGATAATTTGGTGGAGGGAAGAATAGTTTTCATTAAATCGTGCTGGGATACCTAGGTAACCATGTGCAATAAATGAAGGCAGATTGCCTTTTACATCATATACAAAAATTACTTTCAAACAGATCATAGTCCTAAAACTATAAAACCTTGGGAAGACAACATACAGGGTGGGGCAAAAGTAGGTTTACAGTTGTTCCTAAGGAACATAATACGATAATAAATAATAACATAAGGATAAACTTGCATACTCACAACTGTAAATCTACTTTTGCCCCACCCTGTATGTGGAAGTCTTCACAAACCATGGAGTAGGCAAAGGCTTCCTCGATATGACGCCAAAAGTCCAAGCAACGAAAGCAAAAAAAAAAACAAAACATAAACTGGACTTCACCAAAGTAAAACACTTTTGTTGAGAATAATGCCATTAAAGTGAAAAGACGACACAGAACTGGAGAAAATATTTGCAAATTAGATGTCGGAAGAGTATCTAGAGTATACAGTGAACTCTTACAACTCAGTAACACAAATATGAATAAGCCAATTAAAAAGTGGGCAGAGCATCTGAACAGATGTTCCTTTGAAGAAGACACACACTCGGCCCACGAAGCAAAGGGGAAGATGCTCAGCATCATCAGCTACCAGGAAACACAAACCAAGACTGCAGTGAGACACCGCTTCACGCCCACTGGGTTGCCTATGAGTGTAATTGTACCTGACTTTCACTTTGCCAGGAACCTACATACAATTATGAGGCCATTACGGCAGTTTTACTTTAATGCATTGATGATCCACTGAAGTGGATGGTTTTCTTAAAAACAGGTAGAAATGCTGGTAACAGAACTTGGACTGAACCCTAAAACCAGCAGTTTTCAACCCTTTTCATCTCATGGCACACAAATGATTTAGTAAAATTCTGCAGCAAAAAAAAAAATTTTACAGATCTGATAAGAATAGGTATAATTTTGATTTACACACTGGAAGGCTGTTGTCTTTTTTTTTTAAACCTAAGGGAAAAGAGGTCAGCACCCCTGACTAAATATCAGGTGTTGTGTGTTTAAAGAATTGCTGTGGCATGTCAGGTGCAAATCGCTGCCTAAAGCCAAACTGAGAGCCGTGGGCATTTGTGTGGTGCGCTTTGGGGAAACCGGCCAGCTCTAGCGCCAGCATGGAGAAATGTCCCGCTCGGTGGTCGAATGACCACACAGTGAACGACTGAGTGGGCTCCTGGCAAGGCAGCAGGTCCAGCGTCGCCTGCAGGCAAGGTGAGGAGCCCAGCAGGTGTCCCTGCTCTGTCACTTGCTGGGCCTGGGCTTTCTGGATTTAGATTCTAGATGGTAGATTCTGGCAGCTGGAGGTAGCCGGGGAGCGGTGGGGTGTTGAGAGGCATGGAGCAGGTGGGAGAGAGAAACAGACGCAGGATCCAAAGCAGCCCCATCCTCAACCACATCCCAGAGCCGGTTTTCCTGCTGATTTCATCCAGGGAGAGCACTTGCTGCTAAAACCAACTCTGAGAGCCAGAAGATCCCCAGCCCCCAACTTGCTCTCAGCCCTGATCTTTCCATCATGTTCGCCTGCCACAGTTCATTGGTTTTTGCCTTGATAACTTTCCAGTCTGTTAGAAATCTGAAGAAGGTAATAATGTGTCTGTGTTTTCATTCTTTTATAAAACCACTGCTTAATTTGGGAGATAATTGAAACCTGCTTCGCCCAAGTGACCTAGAACTGGGCTGGCGCGCAGGGCCTGATGGGCTGGCGAGGCGGCGCTGTTTCCGCACACACCCCGGCCCTCTCCTCTGAGCGCTGAGGCTTACAGCCGCTAGGTAAAAATAGCTTCGGGCAGCTTCCGCCAGGAAGACACTTAAAAAGGGAAAAAGGATTCATTTGCTAAAAAAGAAAAAGGCTCCCAAATTGCTACCATAATTTTGGAGTGCATTTTTGCAAACATTTCTGTGTCAGGGACAGGAAGGCGTTCTCGCCCTTAAATTCAGCCATTCCACGCAGGGTGTCTGCCCCCAACACGCAAAGCAACTCCATGAAAAGCTCAGTGGACAGAGCTGTCCTTGGCGGTGCTGTGGGCAGGAGGGAAAGTGAGGCAGGAGAAAACACTCGGGGTTGAGGGCGAAGGTCGGGGAACCTCCTGCAAGTCCAGAAGCTCCCCTGCAGCTCGCAGATCATTCACCGGGGCAACACCTGCCTCGTACTGACCACCTGTGGGCACTGGACGCCCTGCGGAATGTCGGAGGCAGGGAGCTTGTGGACCGGGCGGCTCCACCATACTTACAACTCAACTCGACCAGGGAAGTGCAATAAGCAGGGATACAAAATAGGGACCAGCATCCAGACCAGCTCCTTAGGGAAGACTTTCGGGAGGGAGGAAACGACTTTTAAGCTGAGGGACATGATGGTTGTTGGCAAGGAGAAATGGGAGGAACAGTGTTGGGGCAGGGAGCACGGTTACTGGGCAGTGACGGAGAGCAGGCTGTAGTGTTGGGTTGGACAGCTCAGCGGAGCGTGCGGAGAGACCATGTTGGAGGAGCAGAGGCCACTGCACAGGCCCATGGGCCATGTGAGGGAGTGTTCCCTCTGAGCCACGACAGGGTTTTAAGCAGGAGAGTGACATGTTTAGAAAGCTCACCCCACTGCCAGTGAGGAGGCTGCAGCCAGGCTGGCAGTGACGGTGGCCAGCCAGGGAGAGGCAGTGCAGGTGGGGAGGTGACGTGGACACAGGCTGGACAGCTGCCCCGGTGTGGGAGAGGCAGAATGGTGCAGGGGTTGGTGAGGACCCTGGGGCCTGACTCCAGGGGTTCCCACCCGGCTTCCCTGCTGTGTGGCCTGCAGCAAGTTAAGGGTCGTGGTCAGAAGCCACCTCCTAGGGTTGTCGAGGGGACTGAAGGAGTCCCCATGTGTCAGGCACTTGCAGTGGTGCCTGGCGTGGGGTCAGGGCTGCTGTTCGAGATACTATTATTGGTGGCTTGTTGCTTTGGAGCGTAAGACTGAGGCAGGTGTACATCCAGGTGCGAGCTAAGGAAGCTGAGTCAGGAGAGGGGCTCGGGCCTTACAGGGTTGAAGAGGTGGGAGGTGGTGGAGACAGCCCGGGGCGGGGTGGGGGACAGGAAGGCCCAGGAGAAGCCTGCAGGGCACAGAGGGGTAAGCAATAGACCAGGAGGCTGTTTTTTTTTTAACAGGAAAGAGTTGAACCTGCTTAAATGCTGGTGGTGGGAGGCTGGGCAGAGCACAGGGAGGACACGTATCCCTGGCAGGGTGGGTTTCATGATGTGTTCTTGTCATCGTCATCGCTGTGAGGGGGCTGGGAGAGGAGTGATGGTGTTTATCACGACCATGTGGCGTGCCATCAACAGGAGTTGTTTACAACGAGGTTATGAAGACACGAAAAGGTGCCTGAAAGTTATATGAAAAGCAACGTAAAGCATTGTATGTGCAATACGTCAACTACAGAAATACACCCACACCTGAACTTGCAGAAGACGGTGCAATGGGGAGAAATGGCGCCATTTCTGGACGGTTGGGGTGGGGCAGGGTTTCCTTTTGGAACGCTCCGTGATGAGTCTGTGTTAGTGTTTTCATGGAAAAGTCCAGTGAACTTTATTTTATAAAAAGAAACTAGGGTGGCCAGGGGCTGTCCCTGCCAAGGTCGCGGTGACCTTGGGCAAATCCCTGCTCTCCAGGAGTTTTGGTTTCTGCATCTACAGAAAGAGGGGGCTCAACAAAAGCGTGTTCCCCCAGGGCGTGTCCCTGGAGACTGATCCCAGGGAGGAAAGGCTGTGTGGTCAGGCAGCTTCCGAAACCCCGCGTGCTCACAAACTCTGGGAAGACCCATTCTCAAAAAAAGCTCTGCTCAAACCCGCCCCTGTCCCAAACATGAGGTCTGTTAGCAGCCCATGGAATCGTTTTTCCTGGTCACCCCCAAACCCCCCCGGAGCCCCCCTCTCAGCAAGGCCTTCAGGCAAACACCCCGGTGGGGGGGCTGGCAGAGCACTGGGGGCACCTGGAAAGGAGGGGCAGCCGCAGCTGCGGGGCCACCCTCCTGGACTCCAGGCCTCCTCCCCACCCTGCTGTCCTGAGCACACGGGGTCCTTTCCGGCATCTGCTGCTGGCTGCCGCCTGGGCTGCAGAGCTCCTGCAGCCAGGGAGGGAGACAGGAGGAGCGAACAAACCAGGACAGGGGAAAGCCTCGCCGGCAGCAGCCTGAGTTTCTGAAAATCACCTTTACCTGATGCCACAGACCCACAGTGACCAAGGAGAGGACAGGAGGCCTTTGGTTAATCCCTGCAAAGCTAATCCTGGGCTGCTGAAAGAATTCATTTAAATAGAGACAAGTCGGAGGAGAAAAACAATAACTTACATAACACCCTTTTCCCATTACTGAGCTTAAAAAATAGTGTAAGTATGCAGAAATAAAAGCAGATCTTATTAAGTTAGTAATGGGTCCCTTTTCCTTCCTTGATCCGGTTATTCCCTCAGTTATTAATTTTGAAATGATTATTTTGCAAATCTGATAAATGTGTGCACACCACAGGCAAATTATAGTCCCCAGAGAAGAAAAAAATCTGTATATGAGACAAAGTATAGTGTGAATCATATCTAATTTCAAATATTTTAATTTATATACTTTCATGATTATAGGTCAATACGAAATCCGCTTTTCAGGTTTTATTTCATTACAGAATATATTTGATAAGGATACGTACAAACAATCACCTTTAATACATATTGTTTACCGGCGCCCCACCCCTGCAGCGGCCCCCAGCTGTCCCGAAAATGCTTCCCAGCGTCTCGATGAATCGGCCGTCTGAGCAACCAGGGCCCGTGAGTTCAGCTAGTTCAATTCCCTTACTTGCCTGGAACAAGTAAAAATCTTAACATTTGTTTTTAAGTCTGTTTATTATTCTTCTATTTTAAAATCTGAGATACATTCCCCAATGTAAACAATACATTTCAGTTTGTCACACATCAAAATGCATAAGGCCTCCTGGACAAACGGACGCCACCTACGTTCACGCATCAGGGCGCCCCCTCCCTCGGTGGCCAGGTGGGCGCCCGCGCACAGACGACGGGGCCGGGGGCCTCCGGGAGCACCTGGCGCAGCCTCCGGGCTTCTCCCGCTGCAGGTGTGTGGTATCTTTTTGACTTGGTCTACTTGGTCTTAAAATACAAATATACAATGTCCGTAAGCATAAAATAGTAAAGCCTAGCCTTACGTATTTCTTATGAATCGCTAAAATCCTATACAAGTACAATACCATATCATGCCAATTAATATACAAAGGCAGCCAGATGACTCCGTTCAGGGGCGCCATCCACGAGGGTGCGCAGCAGCAGCTGAGTGCGCGGGGTCAGGCCGGCACCTGGAGCTCCGAACGCCATGCCCTCCGCGGAAACGTCAGTCCATCCCGGCCCGCCGGCCTCCGGAGGGAGAACTCAGGGAAGCCTTACCAGGGTAACCAGGTAAATTCGCCGCTGCGCTTCCCAACTCAGCTGTGCAGTGACCTCAGCTCCTCATGCGCTCAGGTCACCCCTCTGGGCCTTCGACCCACAGGGACCGTGATTCGGTACCTCATCAGTGTCACGCACACTGGGCTTAGCAAGCTCGATGGCGAGAGGGGCAGGCCTGCGTACAGTGTGTGAGAAGGCATTCTGTGACTGATTTCCAAGAGTTCATAGAAAAGTTACGAAGGACATACCAATCTGCTGATGTCACTGTACTGTAAACCCTGGCATTTTCTACATGAACTGTGTTTTAGACATGGTACAAGCGAGAGACCCGAACTGCTGACCTGACGTGGTGCTCGCTGATCCACTAAGCTAAGGTAACCGGTACAGGGCGTGGTTTCCTGAGGTTTGTGAGAACTTTGCAAACGAAACAGAAATCACAGTGACCGCGTGCCCGAGTCGGTGCCTCCTGGGCTGCTCTGCGCCCTCGGCCTCGCCAGCACTACACGACCCGCCACTGCATGATGCTCGTGTCTTTGCCGCCCGTGGAGATGAGGTGGCTGTCGTCACAGAGGAACTCAACATTGGTGACGTGACTGCTGTGCCCACTGTACACGTGGCTGGGAGCCTGGAAGCAGACACCGAGGAAGCTCAGCGCTGCGTGTGCAGCCGGGAGCTGGGAGGGCTGGAGCTCCGCAACGTCCGCATCCTCTGCCCTGCCCTCCCCTCCCCCGGCTGCTCCCTGGGTGCGGTGCTCTGTGCACGGTCAGGTCAGGGACAGACACGGGCAAGTGACCATCCTGGGTGCATATGTTCAGTCCCAGAGACGCCTGGGGGTGGAGAGTGAGGGGTGTCCTGCCAGAGGACGGTCGGGATAGGGAAGGACCCTCCTGGTCCTTCCTGGGCGTGCCAGGCATTGCTGCTGGCTCAGCGCAGGGGGCTGGGGTGGGGCCCCGGAGGAAGCCACAGAGGTAGGACAGCCAGGTCCATGGACCTCACAGGGTCGGGGTTCCTGGGGGGCGGGGGGAGCCCCTGAAGTGCTCCAGGGTCACGTCCGTACCTGTGACCGGAGGCATTCACTGACAGGCCTTTTACTGAATTACCAGACAGCCCGGTCAGGCCAGAAACGCACCCCCCGTGGGGGGCGAGATTCTCGAGGACAGCTCCTTACCCGGAACTGCGAGCAAGGGTACGAGAAGAGGTGAACTTTGCCGAAGTCATCGCCCGTGGACAGGAGTTTTTCCTCGTGGGCCCGACAGACGGCATTGATGTCGGTTCCGTCCGAGCCTTCTGGCCACACTCCTGCAACCAAGAGCGCAGACAGAGCCCTGGAAACCCCAGAAACACTGGGCCGCGCTGCCTGGGGACCGCACTAAACTCGGCCGAAATAAAGTCGCCCAAGTCCCAGGTGCAGAGACCAGGGCCGGGAGCACGCTCCGTGTCACTCCCGACCTCTCCCTGTTCCCAGAGCGTCTGATGGGAAGCTGACTGGTCCGAGAGCGTGCAGTTTCCCAATTTTTCTTTTTTCTGGGTAACTCTTTACATGTGAGAGTCTCTCCAAAGAGCTTTCTAACCCTGGGTCTGAGTGTGACTTCCAGGCGTTTCTTGGTGTCAGCAGCTTGCTCTGTGACACCAGCAGGTGTAGGGGCCGCCTGCCATGGGCCAGGCGAGCCCGCGGCTCTGCTCCGGAGCCCTGTGTCCAGTGGGCCTGAAGCTGGGACCGGGAGCGACGTCTCCTGACCATTGTGCCAGGAATCCTTGGCGGCCCCAGCAGCTCTGGTCTGTGCATCAGTTTCTCCAGAAGTTCTGGAGTAAACCTGGGGATCCTGGCATTTAATACCCGCAAATGATAAAATGCCAGCTCTAAGGAGATTTGTGGAATTCTGATCAACTTATTGATCTAAGATCTTACAGAAAGAGATGACATGTATTGCTTTTCCCTGCTACCACATTGTAGTAATTTATTTTAGATCACTTATGAATATCTTCCTAACCAGAACTTTGAAAGAAGTGAAAGTTTCAGTTTAAGGGCCCAAAAGACACAGTGATGACTCCAACAGATGATACGTGTGTTGACTGAGTGCCATCTATCTAGGAAGTTCGGCACAACCTCGTGGGAGAAGATTCTAGAGCATTACCCAGGACCCCTTTCATACACGAGAAGAGAGTTCACGCCCGGGTCCTGGCCCTGCTCGCCCGCCCCCTGGAGCTGTGGGGAGCGTGTCCTGGGGCCTTCACGGGGCAGCACAGCACTTTGATAAGCTGGTGACTGCGGGGCTGCCCAGCTGCTGGGGAAATGCCCTAGAAGGAGACAGTGAGCCCTGGGAGAGCCGGAGAAACTCACCGAAGACGTGGAACCCCAGGGTGCAGGTGTAGGTGGCCCATTCGATGTCTCGCGTAGCTTCCACGCTGACGACTTGCTTACACGCAGAGGGGACCCCTGGGGAGAGCACACGCAGGTCTGCCGACACCTGACAGAGGTCCCCTGTCCTTCCGGGGCCTCACCTGCTACGGAGCCCTCAGGAGAGGGACAGGGGGACCGAGCTCACAGCCGGCACTGAGCCCAGCTCCCGGGCGGCGAGGGCCCGCCTCCTCTTCGTTTTCTGCCCGTCTTCCCGTCTGGGTCTGTCCCGCCCACCCCCGCCATCCGGCTTCTCTTTTCTTTGACCATCTCTGGTTCCTCGGCCTCCACCTGCTCACTGTCCCCCCAGAGCCCCTCCACACTACTCAGGCCCCCTTCCCCACATTCACACGTGTGTGGTTACCCTCTACAATCCTTTAACACCAAACTTATAGAAACCGGTCAGACCAAGTCCTACAGCCTCCCAGGCGACTTGTTTGCTCCCCAAGTGAGCTCTTACCGGGGAAGTGAGAGACTGGGGAAGTCACTGAGAGACCGTGTCCGAGATGGTCTAGACCCAGGGCCCAGCCTGGAAAGCCTTCCCTCTGTTCCTGCTCTCGTCAGCAGGGTGGTGGGGAGGGCGGGGAGGGTCGATCACGGGAGGAATGGTCGAGGCACGGGTTTTCCCCCCTCCCCCCCTGCACCTGCTGCCCTGCCTTTCCTGGGCTCTTCAACTCATGGGCAACCCCTACCCACTGGCTCTAACTGCCTGGGGCTTCCCATCTGGCCCTGATGTCCTTGTCTGCAGAACAGGATGAGCGTGAAAGTGCTGCGGCCCATTTAGGAGGTGCAGTGGGAGCACCTCACGCTTTGGTGCCCACAGCAGTGCAGCCGTGACCCTTCTTGAGCTGTGACCCTGGTGTTGAGCCAGCGCTGGGCCCGGGCAGCAGCTGCCTGGCGAGTGCTCGCAGAAGCAGAGCATGGCCTGTCTTACGCACTCTGTGAGTGCCAGCCATGACTGTCCTCACCGTTCCTGGGCACAGATGCAGGCCACAGGGGTTGGCGGAGAAGCAGGACAGGTCCCAGGGGGCTGCCTCCCACCTGGGTGGGAGAGGCTTCCGGGTCTGCCTGATGGGGAAGACATTACCACCGGTCCCCTCACACTGTGACAGCTCTGACCCCACTGTCTCCTGCCACATCTGCCCCTCTCCAGCCGCTCTCTGCAGGGCATGGCCTCCACCTCCCTGGGGCCTTCGTCTCCTCCATAGGGACACAGGTTGGCAGGGTCTCCATGTGCCTCGGAGGTGGGAAGGACGTGAGAGGTAGTCCAGCCCGAGGGCTGTGTCACAGGGGGCGGAACCTAGCCCTGAGCTGCACAGGAAGTGCGTTTTTGCAGGAGGCCCCGCCTGTTCTCAGAGTAAAGTACTCCTGGGTGCTACTCACAGTAAAGGATTTCGTAGTCTCCGGAATTGGACACAAGGAACTGGGAGTTTACAGACCAGTCCAGGTGAGTGATGAAGCTTGAGTGACCCTGGGGGAGAAGTGCATTGTCTGAGTTTCCTCGTCTCATGAACGCTGACCCACAGCGTGCAGATGCAAGGAATTCGACGGATCAGTAAGGGGCAGGTGTGCTTACCGAGCATTTGCCCACTCGCGTGTACTTCCTCCCGTTGTCGCTGACTCCGTAGATGTAGATGCAGTTGTCGTGGGAGCCTATGGCTAAGAAGTTCCCATCTACAAAGACAGGGCAGATTGCGTTTCCACTGGGAAAGATACACATTTGATCAAGTACAAGGGACAATGCCAGGTGCCACCAGAGATTTAGAAAACACAGCCAAGTTAATGAATTATTTCAAAGATGAACTACAAGGAGAAAATTTGCTCCGAATGATTCCCATAAGCACTTCTATTTTTTGAAAATCATACCTGACCGGATTCTTGTCCTCGTGAAACCCTCCCTTGGCCACCCCCACCGTGAAGGGGCCGAGACTCGGGTCCTGAGTGGGGCCCACAAGGCCCTGCAGGATGTGGCTGTGTCTTTCCTCACTGTGCTGCAGGGTCTCTCAGGCCTCGGACGCAGCCCCTCCCCGCCCGCAAGGCCCTTCCCGCCTCAGCCCCAGGCACACTGCCCTGGCATCCCTGCCTGATTCCATGGAAGGGTCAACCAGACAGACACACCTTTAGCCAGACTGACTAAGAAAGGGAGAAGACGCAAGGTATCAGAATCAGAATAAAGGAGGAGTCTTCACTACCAAACTCAGCAAAATTAAAAGGATTATAAATAAATATTATGAACAATGTTATGCCAACAAATTAGACAACTTAGATGTAATGGGAAAATTACCAAAACTGACTTAAGGAGAAATCAAAACTTAGAACAATCCTACAACCAGCAAAGTAATTGAATTAGTAATTAAAAACCTTCCCACAAAGAAGAGCCACGCTGGTTACCTCATAGGACTCCTGTCAAATATTTCATAAAGAAATGACCCTAATCCTCCATAAACGCTTTTAGAAAATGACAAAGAAGGGGCACTTTCCGGTTCCCTCCACAGGCCAGCAGTGGTCTCACAACTAAGCCAGACCAAAGCGTCACAAAGAAACCAACACCCACATGGACACGGATGCAGAATCCTCAACAGAATGTTAACAGACAGAATCCAGCAACAGATGAGAAGGATTAGACATAACCACATGAGATTTAGACCAGGAATGCAAAGATGGCTTAACCTCTGAAAATTAATGTAAGACGCCCTATTAATAAAATAAAGGACAAAAACCACATGATCATCTCAATAGGTACAGAAAAAAGCAGTTGACACATTCTAACACCCACTCATGATAAAAACTAGACAAATCAGGAACAGAAGGGCCCCGCCTCATCATGACAAAGAGCACCTGACATCGTCCTGATCAATGAACGACTGCTTTCCCCCTGAGACTCGGAGCGAGGCAGGGACCCGCCGTGCCCCTCCTGTCCCTCATCACACTGGAGGTTCTACCGAACGCAGGGAGGGACAAATGGAGGCGTCCCGGTTCCCAAGGAAGAGTGAGGCCGCCCATATTTGCAGAGGACGTACTCCCATATGAAGAAAATCCCAAACAGTTTACGCACGGAAACCCCACTAAAACAAATGAAAGAGTTTAGAAAGGTCACAGATATAAGATCTATGTACAAAAAGATAACTTTTATTTTTCTATGCTAGCAATTAACATTCTGAAGACAGAATTAAAAAAAAACGTCATTCACAATGGCATAAAAAGCAACTTGGGAGAAAGTCTAACTAAGGAAGTACAAGACCTGTGCACTGACAACTGTAAAACATCGCTGATAAAATTAAAGCTCTCAATAAGCAGAGAGACACTGTTCAGGCATCATGAGACTCAGTCTTGTAAAGATGGCAACTCTCCCCATATTGGTCTACAAGTTCAACATATTAAAATCTTGGTAGGTTTAAGGCACATCATAATTACATTAGCCAAAATTAAAATGAAGGAGAGAATCCTAGAAGCAGCAAGAGCTAAGGGGACAGTCACCTACAAAGGAGTCCCCATCAGACTGTCAGCAGATTTCTCAAAAGAGACCTTACAGGCAAGAAGGGGCTGGAAAGAGGTATTCCAAGTCATGAAATCCAAAGACCTACAACCAAGATTGCTCTATCCAGCAAAACTTTCATTTAGAATGGAAGGACAGATAAGGTGCTTCTCAGATAAGATCAAATTCAAGGAGTTCATCATCACCAAGCCCTTATTATATGAAATCTTAAAGGGACTTATCTAAGAAAAAGAAGTTAAAGAAACATGAACAGTGAAAGGACAACAAACTCACAGTTATTAACAACCACACCTAAAACAAAAGCAAACTAAAAGGACAGCTAGATCAGGAGTGGAAACATAGAAATGAAGATCTCAAGGAGGGTTAGCAACAGGGGGAGTGGGAGAAAGAGAAGGGGGGAGAAGGTACAGAAAATAAGTAGCATAGACAGTAGATAGAAAATAGATGGGGGGGCAAGAATAGCATGGGAAATATAGAATCTAAAGGAATTGAGACACATGGTCATAAACTAAAGGGTGGGTAATGGTGGGGATGGGGGGGTAGGGTGGAGGGGAATGAAGGGGGGAATAGAACAACTGTAACAGCATAATCAATTAAAAAAATTTAAAAAAATCTTGGTAGGTTTTTAAAATTAGAACTTGACAAGCTAATTCCAAAATTTATATAAAAATGGTAAGAACCTAAAATAGCTAAAGCAATTAAAAAACAACAACAAAGTTGGAGTAATTACACTACTCAATTTCAAAACTTACTCTAAAATTATAGTAATCAAAATTGTGTGGTGTTGGTATGTGGATATATAGATGAACGAGAGAGAACTGAGATTCTTGAAATAAACCTTTATATTTACTGTTAATAGATTTTGGACAAATGTCAGGATAGTCCAACAGGAAGAGAACTGTATTTTCAGCAAATGCTGCTGGAACACCTGGATATCTATACGCAGAATAAATAAACTTGGACTCCCACCTCTCACCACCCACAAGCATTAACTCAAAATGGATCACAGACCTACCTACACACAATGGCTGACACCACAGCTGTTATAAAAGAAAGCACAGGAGAAACTCCTCATGACCCTGACTATGGTGCCACACGCAGGATCCATAAAAGAAGAAAACTGAGAAGCCAGACTTCATCCAAATTAGAGCTCCTGCTCCAAAAGAGCCCATTAAGAAAATGAAAAAAAAACACCCCAAAACCCTGGCTGGTGTGGTTCGGTGGACTGAGCACCAGCCTGCGAACAGAAGAGCCGTCTGTGGACTGAATGGTTGCTGGTTCAATTCCCAGTCAGGGCACATGCCTGGATTGTGGGCCAGGTCCCCAGTGGGGATGTGTGACAGGCAACCACACATTGATGTTTCTCTCCCTCCCTTCTCCTCTCTCTAGTCCCTTCTCCTCCCTTTAGAATGAATAGATAAAATCTTAGAAAAATAAATTATAGGACAGGAAAAGACACATCATACTCTGAGAGAAAAATGTTTGCAAATCACATATCTGATAAAGAACTCGTATATGGAATATAGAAAGAGTTCTTACAACTCAGTAGTAAAACCCAATTAAAATGGGCAAAATATTTGGATATATTACTTCATCCAAGAAGATACAGACAGACACGTGAAAAGATGCTCAACATCCTTGGCAGTCTCTATAGAGACGTAACTTGAAACCAGTGGGGTACCCAATGTCCCCACTGGGTGGGCGCTGATCCCAAAGACAGATGGCAGCAGGTGCTGGCGAGGGCGTGGGGAAACTGTCACCGGACGCATTGCTGGTGGAAACGTAAAATGGCGCAGCCACACTGGGAAGCAGGTGTGCATTTTCACAAGATGTTAACATAAATTTGCCGTACGATCCACTGATTCCACACCTACCACACCTAGGCATTTCCCAAGACAAATGAAAACAAATGTCTACAAAAGGCATGAACAGTGACTGTTCATAGCAGCGTCACTGACAGTGGTCACAACATAGAAGCGATCCGAGTGTCGCCAACTGAAGGACAGGTCCAGTTAAAGTGGCCCACTCGGGGGAAGGGGCACTGCCCAGGAGTTACAAAGGAATGCAATGCACCGGGGGTGTGAATGGTGGGAGGAGACCTGACCTGGGGTGGTGAACACCCGACACGGTGTCCAGATGATGTGCTACAGGACTGTGTGCCTGAAACCTGTATCATTTTACTAACCAATGCCACCCCAGTACATAAAAAAGGAACTACCTACTGATACGTGCACAATAACCCGAGTTAGTCTCAAACATGTTATTCTAAGGAGAAGCCAGACAGATGTCACAGGCTACATGCTGTGTGGCTCCGCTGACACGAAACGTCCAGAGCAGGCCGTCCGTCTGTAAAGCGGCCCAGTGGCTCGGGGCGTGGCCGGGGCTGGGAGGCAGGTGGAGGCTGCTGCTGAGCGGGGAGGGAGCTTTCTGGGGCGCTGAGAAGGATCTAACATCGGGCTGGGGCAAAGGCCGTGCAGCTCTACCAGTCTGCTAAGAACCAGTGAGTCGCACACGTATAACGGGCAAATCAGTGTATATGAATCACACGCCAACAAAGCCGCTCACAGAATCTCCTCCTTCTGAGACGCAGACAGCGACACCAATGGATGGAGGAGCAGGGGTCTACGAATCACTTCAAAATAACACGGAGGGGCAGTGGGTGGTTCGCAGGTGAACGGGACAGGCCAGGGGTCAGTGACCACCACGGCCGGGGGTGAACGCACGGGCTTTGTCACACTCTCCTGTCCAGTTCTGTTCTGTGAAAATTTCTGTGACTGAGAGCTAAGAAAACACACAGGCGTGGTAACCACCGAGGAGAGAGAGCCCTAAATGCCAGTGATGTGCATTCAGATTTCTCTCCGAGGTGGCTCGTGACGTTTCTTCTGCAAAGACCCCCACTTGGACTGTTGTGAACCTGCTGGGGCTGCACTGCGTGTGCCCGGCGCCCTGACCTGGAGAGTACCGCATGACAGACAGCTGCTCGTTCCCGTCCGTGTGCACGGTGACCAAGTCCCTCGTTTCCGTGTCGAACACAAACCACCTGTTGCAAACCAGAGACAAAGTACAAAAAGCTGCTTAGTGGGGAGTGACGTCAGCCTATTACAGTACCCGTAAGACTATTAAAAACTTAACCTAAGGGCTTAATAAATACTCTGCTTTTACTTAACAAGAAAGCTTGCTCCCGGCTTTGATTTAAAGAACATTTCCTGCCTGTGAGCATTTCCTGAAAAGGAACAGCACACTGGCGACTACTCAGACTGGTTCAGTTACCGCCGCAGGCGGTACAGGTGAGGCAGGGCTGGGCCAGAAGGCGGGGCTGGAACAACCTCAGGGGCGGTGAGGTTCCCAGCTGGGCCATGTCTGACCCCCGTGAGCCACCGGCCAGGTGAGGGAAACACTGGTGAGAACGAAGGATGAGCGAGGAGGGGGGACAGTCACCTCTCTGAGCTCAGCTTCCTCAGAAGGAAGACAGGGCTCAGGACCCAGAACCACCTGGCCAGCCCAGAGTCAGCCCTGTCATGTTGTGACAGGTGCAGAAGTGCTCTGTACCCCTAACAAGGACGCAGTACTCGGAAAATTCCCGTGATGGAATGACTGCACTCTCCTGCCCGCCTGTCCTGGTGTGGTGGCGGTAACTGGGACTCGTGTTCTCAGGAGTGGGAAGCCATGAGGCCTCCTGATCCTGCAGTTCCTACCTAGATGACACGTTCCGCCAGCTTGTCCCCTGGGCCAGCACCGCTGTCTTAGCCTTCCATTCGGGGCCCTAACCCTGCCGCTGCCCAGCATGCCTGAGGACCCTCTGAAATCTGGATTTGGCTTCTTGGCTTTAAGTTCTTGCATCTGCAACATCCATTTCCCTTTCCTGTGCTATTTGACCAAAACAGAGGTCAGAACACGAGGAGCAGAGAGACTCAGCGGCCTTTGGAAAGTCCCGTTGAATTGCGGCATCAGGAGCCAGGCCCTGGGACCAGAGATGCGGGAGGCATAAATGGAAGGCAGGGATGGGGCTGCACGTTCCATCCTGCCCTTGTCGCCAGGTCCCGTCCCGCTACACAGGCAGCACCTGGCTGTCAGGGCTCCTGGTCAGAAGCCTCGGGCTTCTCCAAGAGCGTTAAAGGGAAGGTGAGCGTGTGGCCCTGCCCGTGTTTTTATGGAGAAGCCCCTAGAAACGAGGGTCCTGGCTCTTACAATACTGCTGCCGATGACTCAGAAATGGCTGCCCCTTCTCTACGCACGCTCTGCAGTCACGACCACAGAATCGAGGTGGTCTGCTTTCCAGAGAGGGAGGGCAGGAGGACGTCAGCAGAAATGCCTGAAAAAACTGTCAGGGGTGCCTGTCCTATGGCGAACAACGGGAACCTCTAGAACCATGACGAGGAGAACCACTGAACTCGCCTGCCAGACGCCCAGGCGGTGCTCTCTGTACCTCGTCCCCTCCGCCACCAGCGCCGAGTGGCGAGGCAGCTCATACTCCCACAATTTATAAAAAGCAGCAAATGCACAGAGGTCATGCAACCAGCTCACAGACGCGTGGCTGCCGGCGGAGAGGCTGGAATCCCAGCATTGACCTGTCGCCTGGCCCCCCGAGGCGTCGGCTCAGGAGGCTGAGTCTCAGTAGGAGACGCAGGGTCTGGGCAGTTGCTAAAATTTTGAAAGGGCAGCAAGAACAAGCCTTTTGACAGTCTCAGTACCTGGAAGTGCTTTTGTGCCTGACTCTGAAGTTGAGGCTCCCCCCACCACCTGCAGAAGAGGGCTGGAGGTGCTGCGCATCCCGTGAAATGGGACACAAGTGTGTGCACGTGTGCACATGTGCAAGCACGCACGTGTGCACATGTGAGCACACATGTGCCTATGCGCACATGCCTGAGCCTGTGCACTTTTGTGGGCACTCTTCCAGGAGAGCAAGCCAGGGCTTTCCTCAGATCCCCAGGTCCGACATGCGAAGGACCCTGTCTCAGTGTCCTTGAGTCTGACCCAATTGCTGCTCAGTCATCAGACGCTGGAGATGCAGCCGAGGGCTGCTCCGCACCTGCCCTGGCAACACAGACAACACGCCTCTTTCCGTGACCTGTGAGCCACGCTGCTGTGGACTTACCTCCCGGTCAGTGTTCCGACTGCAACCACAGACCCTGAAGGATGAAAACCAGAAGACTGAGCTGGATCCTAAAATATTTTAAAGGAGGTGTAAATTGACGGCCAGGCACAGCACTATCGCATAAAAACACACAGCACAGCCCTGGTCCCTCGGGGCCTTGCAGCCCCGTTTACAAATCTCCTCTCTCCAGAGAGAACGACATTTCCCTGCTTGGACCAGGCACAAAAATTTTTCTGTCTCTGCCTTTCAGCCTCTCATAGCTACAGCAGCCAGACCACGGATCGAGAAGAGGTGCCCTTCTGCTGGGTCCTGGAGCCACGCAGTGGCCCCCGGGCTGAATGGCGTGTGTGCTCTGCCCAGACACAGGGCCTCTGTCCCCATCCAGCAGTTGGACACTGGGTGGGCGCAGACATTCCGCACCCCCAGGCGGGTCCGAGACGGGGAAGGCACGTTCAAGGTTTCGGTCCGGTGGCCCGCACGCGTGTGTGGTGCTGATACGAGATGGAGCGTGGTCAGTGGAAGAGGTGGCAACAGGCTGTGGGTCCCCAGAGCGGGAAGGCAGACCCGGCCCGTCCAGGAAGGGCCACCACTGGTGACGGTGGGAGTGGACACACCAGGATTGGGGAGCAGGTGTTTACGGGACAACGACATGGTCAGAGAGGTGGACGCGGTGCCACGGGGGCCTGGCTGAGAAATGGCAGGCGGGTTTACGGTGCAGAAAGTGAGGGCCACGTGGGGGACGGGACAAAGTGCGGTGGCACAGGGAACGTGGGCTGTGTTGCCAGGTCGGGACTGTGGTCGCTAGCAAAGAACACAGCAGGCGACTTTTTCCCTTTCAAGAAAAAGAGTGGGTGACTCCGTCTGCCTGTGAGATGGGGGTCCCTTGGCAGGGGTGTTTCGGACAAACTGAAGTGAGAAGGGGTTGGTCACAGGCAGACCAAGGAAAGCGCGGCCGTGGGAACGGGAAGAGGAGGAGCCGCAGAGACTATGGATCAACTGAAAAGTAAGAGCCCAGGCGCTCCCCAGTGATGGACTGACCCATCGCTGCGATGCTGTTCGCAGAGGGAGGGCTGTAAGTGGGTGCAGGCTGCCACGACACACACACAGAAATCGCGGCCGCTTGAGGCTCATAATGTGCCTGACAGGAAGACGCTGAGGCCCGGGGGCGGGGGTCCTGTCCAAAGTCACACAGACAGGGGAGAAAGCAGAGAGCACTGAGCCGCAGTTGTTTCTGGCGTCCGGTTTGGCGCCTCTACCCTTGTGCCAGGTGGACAGGGTCGCCAGTCTGCCCTCAGCACGGCTGCCGCGCTGACCGAGACCCCAGGGAAACCACCCCCTCCAGACTGCCACTGTCCCTGCCACATTGGTGGTGGCTGTCAGGTCTGCACAAACCCCTCATGTATTTTTCATTCATGAAGCCCCCTCCTGGGGACAGGTGCAAGGCAGGGCACCACCTCGTCTAGCCACACCTGCCACCTCGGGCCACACCTGTTCTGTCCTCTGAGTGGCAGGCTCACCCCTCTGGCCCTGGCCTCTCCTGCTCAGCTCTACCAGTGGCTGCCCAGCTCTAGTCCCGCGGTGGCCTTCTCTGAAAGCAAAAGGCAGGAGGGCTGACCCTCAAGTTGGGGCATGCCAGCAGTTACGTGGGGCTGCGGGCAGCGGTGTGGGGTCTGGAGAGGGGCCACCCCTTACACAGGAGGGGTGTCACCTGGGGCACCGGATGTGTGTCTGACCCACAGCAGTGTGAGTGCTGGAGGGCCCTGGGTTTGGGAATCAGGCCGAGCTGGGTGCAGATGCTGGCTCTGTGGTGACCTCGGCAACCTGGGCAAGTACGTGGGTGGCGTTTCGAAGCCTCGGTTTCCTAACCAGCGCCATCAGGGCGAAGGAACTCCTACTTGCAGGGCGGCTGCCGGGGTGAGGGCGATGAGTTCACACACGTGCGCAGTGTGCGAACAGAGCTCAGGGTGTGCGGCAGGGCGGCGCTGGCCCCGTGGGGAAGGCCGGCCGGCACTCTGCTTTGCACGCGGAGTCCCTTTTGTAAAGGTCACAGAGACGCTGGTGTTAACACTAGAGCTCTGCCTTTATCACTGAACTTGGATTGCAGAGAAGAACTGCTCATTCCAAAGGCGATCCGGCAACAGGACGCAGGCTCCGCACCAGGGGTCCTCAGCAGCTAGGCCCTCGGCGAGGCCACACCCAGGCAACCCAGCAACCGACTCGGAGGGCCCCCCGCTGCCAAAATTCAACAGCACCCCGCAGAATTACATGGGTGAGGCCTCTGGGCAATGTTTAAAGCGATACAATTTGGAGGAGCTCAGTGAAGTGACATTTGGGGATAATTTATGTCACTATTAATTTCATGCAAGTACATATTCCAGGTGAATGGACATATTCCAGGTGAACTTTGACAAGGAAAACAGAATACAACATGTACGTCTACCTCGATTATTTTGTCCCAGACTGGCCGGTGACCGACAGCGTCCCACAGGGTGGCGTGTCTGTCATGCCCGCAGGTCAAGAACTGAGGTTTGGAGGCATGGACGGCCAGTCCCCAGAGCTCATCGGTGTGACCCTACAGAGAAGCAAGACAAACGGACGCTCTCTGAACACTCCAACCGGCACGCAGGAGCCCTGAAGGGTGACATGCCAGGCTTGCCGCGCGCTTTGGCCCCGCCCTCCTCAGTCTCTCCCCGCCCCCACTTCACTCAGGAGAGCAGACCGAGCCCCCCCGAGGCTCAGGACGGTTGTGTTAGTGTGAAACACAGGGTCGTCTCCGCCTCGTAACGCTTTGTTAAATTCTAACGTTACGGGACATGGACAGGTGCAGTGGGCCAGCTGGAACGCACCTGAGTAATGGCTGCAAAGTCCCCGCACAGTGTGCCCTGGAGGACGAAGTTCCTGGTCGTGCCGATCAGGATCACGTGGCCTTTCCCCTCGGCCACTGTCCGTATGGGACCGAACTGTTCCGGGATCTGCGCGGAAAGGATCGGAGTTAACATCAGTGATCAGCTCCACCATTCAGAATGCTTTCGTCTGTGTATTGATGGCAGCGCCTATCACAGCCTCTCTCTCTCTCTCTCACACACACACACACACACACACACACACGCACGCGCACGCATGCACAGGGAATGGCTCACTCTCGGTGCCTGTGGAGTGAATGACCAGAACTCCAAATCTTGCTTTCACACTCTGAACATTTCATATACCTTAAAAGAATCAACCTGGCTGGTGTGGCTCAGTGGATTGAGCATGGGCCTGTGAACCAGGCTATCGCGGTTCGATTCCCAGTCAGGGCACATGCCTGGGTTGCAGGCCAGTTCCCAGCAGGGGACACATGAGAGGCAACCATACATTGATATTTCTCTCCCTCTCTCCTTCCCTTCCCCTCTAAAGATGAATAAATAAAATCTTTTAAAAAATTTAAAAAAAAAAGAATCAGCAAGAACTAAAGCTGTTTAAAAAATAATAAAGAATAAAGCATTTTTTTCTTGACAAGACTAAAAAGTAAGAAACACTTGTGGTTAGTTACTCCTTACTTGTGATGACTTCGAAGAGCCGTGGTAAGTAGTAAGTAAAATTTGGAAAATGAGAGGCTGGCCTATAGTACAAGCCATAATGAGAGTTTCTAAAATTTTCTGTAACTTAAAATGGTGAATTTTCTGGCAACTTCACTCTACTTAGTTTTGATCCACTGTTCATGTTGGTAAACATGTGGAATTTTCTACATGTTAAGAAAAAAAAATTTCAAAACACGCCAGCCAGGAACAACTCGCAGTGGGAACAGACACGGAGGCTGGGGCGCACTGGGGCTGGACTCTGGACCCTCCTTGGGAGGAGGAAGCAGCGTCTCTGCTCGCTTACTGACACTTCCCACCTCCAGTGTCTGTGACGGGAGCGAGGACAGGAGATGGCAGCCCAGGCTAGTGAAGAGGATTATGGGTACATAACCTTGGTGAGCATCTTCTACGAAACTGGATGAGGCTTTGGTGCTTTCGATGTGGTTACAGCTCACCATGGGTACATGTTCAGTCAAGTGCTGGTCAAACCTCATTATAATGTCAACAGTGAATTCTCAGTGAAAGGGGAAGCGATTTCCGAGTTCAGAATGGAGGCCTTCCTCTACTAAGTGCAACAAGCAACAAAACCAAGTTCTCCGACAGCCAAAGCACCGAGCCAGCTGCTCTCTGATGGATCGTGTTGTGAGCATTGACTTAGCAGCTGGAAACCCTCTACAACGTGTCCACTCTAGGGTGGGGGGAAGACCATCAGCGGTCAGATGGATGCTGATATCTGTCTGCCCATTATTTCCCGGGGCCTGGGGGAGAAAACTCAGCGTGTAGAAGAAATACTGGAATTCTTGCTTCTGGCTCCTGCTGGGGTGCAGGCTGCTAACCAGGTGATAAGTAGACCCTCAGTAAATATTAGCTCAAAGTGATAAAGTCTTCACAGTAACACACTGGAGATTAGTGGAAAAAAGGAAAAAGAGTGTAATGATAAATCAAAATGTAGATACAATTCCCTTGGAAAAGTGAGATTGGTTCTATTATAAAAATATTCTAAATGGGAAATGTTACAACCTCAAATTTTATACATTTACTGTTATTTTGCTGTATATAATCTGCAGAATTTTGCCCAGATTTTTTGAGGGAAAAATAAAGGTGTGCTTTATACATGGGTACAATGGTTATATACCGTGGGTGTAATAATGGGCATGATAACCCCGTGCAATATGTACACAAAAATGTGGGAGCACATTATACACAGTAAAATAAGGTAATTCCATTTTCGTAGTTGTACTGTAACTGCCTCCATGATTTTAGTCAAACGTTACACCGCTCGCCCTGGCTGGTGTGGCTCAGAGGGCTGGGCGTCATTCCATAAACCGGAAGGTCACTGTTCTGACCCCTGGTCAGGGCCTGGGATGTGGCCAGGCCCCCGGGTGGGGGTGTGTAAGAGGCAGCTGACTGATGTTTCTCTCCTTCTCTTTTGCCCTCCCTTCCCCCTTCTCTACATATAAATAAAACTTTAAAAAATATACCACTCAATAAAATGATATCTAAAACAATTTTCAAAAATGGTATGCTAAAGATTTAAAATCAACAAGGACACTGATTGGGGCAAGAGTTTAAGGCTCAAAACAAATTTCATAAAAAATAAGACTGAGCTGTCTTACCTCAGTTTTATGAAGTTTCTGGTAGTTTCCATTCCAGGAAATGAGCTTTCGGTCCTTCCCTCCTCCCGACACCAGGGTGCCGTCCCTTAGCATGCAAAGTGCGAAAATGCCCCCCTCGTGGGCCCCTTGAATGGCGTAGCTTATTCGATTCGTACCTGAACACACCAAGAAACCATCCTTAGTCCTTCAGGAGGGGGTGCCCTGTGTCTCATCACGGGCCAGTTTTGCTTTAAAATCGACATCAGCACACTCCCTGGGCTGAGCCCAGAGAGTGTGTTCTAAGTGATGCCCCCTCCCTCCCATCGCCTGCTCACCGGCAGTGGGGACTCTGGTCAGACTTGCCCGAGCGCCCACAGTGCATATTGCCACTCACGTATTGGTACTCGAATGCTATGTGAGCCAGGACAGTGGCTTAAATATTTCACAGCTACAAAACAGTCACGGCTGACTTCATCGTTGTCATTTGTTAATACATCTCCTAATAGAAGTACTCATCCCATCGTAGCATCTTGGGCTTAACGAGCCTTTCAGAATGACAACGAGGCACTACTCTTAAAGACCCGTGTTCCTCTGCTCTGGTGTAATGGTTCCAGGCCACACATGCACACACCTGTGTATGTACCTGAGTCACTCGGAGTGTAAGAGCGATCCTGTGGATTATGTTAATAGACAATTCTTACCGAAGTCATGCTTGATTTCTCATAACACCGCCAAACCAGTTTGAGTTGGGAACGACCATGTGTTACCTTTCCCCCACACCAAGATGTTGCCACTCGAGTCTCCGGTAATGGTGTCGCCGTTTTCAGAAAAAGTCACGCAGAGAACAAACTTTGGCTTTTCTTGCTTCTGCAGAGTGTCATAAATATATGTGTTTATATATTTAGTCAAGACGTCCTCTGGCTTTATTACTACCACCTAGACTTGCACTAACCCCCAGAGAGACGGCATTACCACCCTGCATGCCTTGCACTTCTACCTGCCCTTACACAACTAATGCGGTGAGAGCATCTGCTCTTACCAAATTCCTGCTCATATAAGGTTACCGACAGCTCCAGCCAAGGAGGGTGTTGGGGGTGGGGGGCCCAGGGGTGGGCAGTGCTGTCGTGCCTACAGTGTGAGGAACAAGGCCCTGGTACCAGAATAAGGGAGTCCTCTAACTCCGTCTCCGGGCGCAGCTGCAGCTGTCACCAGAGAGAAGAGGCACTGTCCCCCGGTGCTGTCAGAGGCCCCTGAGTGGCCAGACTAAAAGGCACAGGGTATCTTGGCCATTGTGGGGGCCCGCTCCTCAACTCTAGTAAAGGTCTGGGAACAGTCTTTGTCGCTACACCCACACACGCACCCCCACACTGGCCCGGTGAAACTGACTCTGAGACTGGGTGCCTGAAAGCTCCCTGATGACAAGTGGAGCCAGCTGACCCAAGTGCACGCCAAAACAGCAACGCCAGACGCCATTGAACTTTACCTCGAATAACCCTTGCTTCTTAATGAGGCAGTTTCCCTCTAGCGTCCAGAAGTAGAGGTGTGATTTTCCACAGGTGACTATGATGTTGGTGTCGGTGGGGTGGAAATCCACAGCAAACACGGCTTCATTGGAGCACTGGGCAAAGCAGGGGGCTCGGATGGCTCAGGTCTCTTACACACCGTAGACAAAGCGCGCGGCCGGGCCCCAGCCCTGGGTCTTCCCCCTGAATCGATCCTCTGTAAACACTAAACCCATGTCTACGGTGGCCTTAACCTCTCCTCGCCTGTCTTGCCCACTGGACAGCAGCCCGCGGCCGCAACACGGGGCCCTCTTTCTGTGAGGACCCGTCACCGCAGCGGGCACAGAGCAGGCCTGCAGTGGGCTTGGGGGGCAGGGGCAGCAGGGGACTGCACTGCAAGGGGAACGGGCCCTCCTCGTCCCGTCGTGGTGGCCCGGCCCCGGCCAGACGGCAGGACAGGCTGCGGGGCGTTTCGTGCACATGTCAGGTCCCCTCCCCACGTAGTGACGGGAACCTCTGGGGCTGGGAATCTGCATTTTGTGCAGCTCCACTGCTCCCGGCCCACATGGGCCGCTGTGTTTGCCCTGGGGTCCCTCCTGGTGTAACTCCTGGGACTGTGCTGGTGGGTCGGCAACCAAGCTGGGGACCCAGGTCCTTGGGTGACTCTCACTACCCTGCACCCTGGCTGGATGAAAGAGACCTGATTGTTCCGTCTGCTGATAACTCAGTCACACCTTCTCACACCTGGAGGCTAACTTGCCTCTGACTACTTTCAGCCTAGCAACGCAAGAACTTACTCGTGACCAGACTACTAGAAGGCAAGGCTCTAGCATGAAAGCAGGTGTTAGGAAACATATGATTAGTGTATAGGGTCTGCAGCCCAGTCTTGCAAGGAAGATGTTCTCCCCACAGCAAGAAAGGAGGGCGACCCCTTGCTACCCCTCATGTGAGGGAAGTAGGACTACGTAAGGCTAGTGGATGCCAGGACAGAACTATGAAGTCAGTTCTGTGAGACAGAGCGAACCACGATTTAACAGGAGGAACACAGGAAAATGCCTGTGAAAGCTCGCTGCTCTGTTGGGCAGAATGGATGGGAGGTGGGGCAGAAGCGCTCTGGGCCCCGGAGGAGACGGGGCAGGTGGTGCTGGCCTCCTCTGCGCCCACCCTGCTCCCTCCGGCCCCCCACTGATGGGGGCTGGCACTGGCACAGCATCTCAGCACCACGACACCTCCGGGGCCTCCTCGACATGTGAGTACATGGGGGCTTTTGTTGAATGAAAGACAGAAAAAGTCATCAAATGAGTGATGCAGTGAATTACAGGGGTCGTGGCTGTAAAACGAGCAGGGAAAACCCTTGCAGACTTCGTGCAGAGGGGAAGACACGCCGCCAGGACTTGGGCCTGGCATCCTGGTGGGGGGGGAGGGACAGGTCAGAGGGATCTGGGGCAGGTGTCGCCCGAGGGCTGCCTTGGGGTGGGGACCCCAGAGCCCACTGGGAAGCAGGGAAGCAGGCATGGGAAAGAGAAGGCTCCAAATGGAAACATTGGCACAGCCGGCATTGGGCCGGGAGAGAGACCTTGGCGTCGGCCAGCCGCTCCTCCCGCTGCCAGTCCCACACGGACAGCACATGGTCGTTGGAGTCGTCCACGGCACACAGGGTGCTCCCTCCGTTCTGGAAAACATGTGTGTTCCCCAAAGATTGCACTTGAGAACAAAACGGGTTGAGCGCGATGAAAAATGAACACTAATTTTACTTTTAATCGGGACCGCCACATTTCAGTTAAAGAGTATTTACTGACTGCCTCTGAGACCTGCCTGCTCGGACAGACGGACAAGGAGAGGGGTGAACGGGGAGGGGGTGGGGCTGATGAAGGGACAGGAGCACGAGGGGCCAAGGGGCTGGCTCTTCCCCAGCAGGTCCACTAAAACCAGCCTCCAAGGGGCTGCAGAGCCCCTGCCCCCTCCACAGGAGCTGGTGCCTGCTGCACACACAACACACGCCTGGTGCTAATGGGTGACTGAAGGGTTGTGGGAGGACCAAGAGCATTGGGGCGAGGCGTGTGCTGCTGGGACATAAGCACAGACAGGGGCCTCGGACATCAGTTTCTGAGCTGCCTGAAGAAGTGGTTGACAGGGTGGATCTGGGGAACAGCAGGCACATCTGGAGGAAGCACATCTGGGAGACCACAGGGGCTGTCTGGCTCCTATAAGAGACAGGCAGCTAGCCCCTGTGAGGACAGCAGGGTCCTGCTGGGGCCCCTAAGGAGGGGCAGGGGAAATTCAAGGCCGGAACAGGCAAACTGCCTCACCAAACCCGAAGACAGCGGCTGCAGAGCCTTCTGCCATCAGCACACCCGCATGTCTGGAGAGGTCTAGTTGGAACGCTGACCTCTGGCTGAGGGGGCCAGGGAAGCCGGAAGGCTTCAAGGTCAGACCTGTGCACTGACGCTCACCCTGCCCCCTCTGGCCACCTGCTCCCTGGGAACAGAGTGCACCCTCCCGGCTCAGACTTACGGATTTAGAGAAGGCAATGCAGGTGACGGCTCGGTCGAAAAACCCAGTCCCGATGACGTGCAGGGTATTCAATGTCACGGAATCCCAGATGCGCACGTGTGGGGGCAATTGCTGGGGAGAGAAAACACGCCAAGTCCTCGACTGTGACAACTACACATCTTTACTTTGAAGCTACAAGATTGCTTCACCTTTGTCAAAACAAGATGTCAAAACAAAGTGTCAAAACACTTTTTGTCAAAAGGTCTCTTTCTGCTTTTCTAAGTTCTATTAACATAAAAGACAGATCCCCGCTGTCCCCAGGAGGCCATGGCCCCTGGGCCAAGGTAACCTCAGGAGAGGTTACCAAGTTGTAATTTTGAACAGCCCATGCTGGACTCCACAGGAATTATTCTACTTTTACTCCTGGACACCCCTGCATTTTAAAAATGAGAAATGACGAGGGAAACGGAATCTCGGTCAAGGGTTAGGCTATGATGTTCGTGCGGTTACCAAGGGGAGAGTGCGTGTGCATTCCTTAGGGCGGCCACCGCCCATCGTTTAAGGCACTCCCTGGGCCCCACAGGAGCCCAACAGGCAGTCAGTCACGCACAACGAAGACGAGAATTGTCATGGTTTAGTCCCGCACTCTCTCAGGGTGTTGCAAGGTGATCTACACTAATCTCGCTCTTTAGAAGCTAGCAGTCCAGAACAGCCGGCAGATCTGTTCCCAGGACACAGAGTGTGGTCGGGTGAGTTAGGTGCTAGTTCGGACTCGTCTCTAAGGAGCTGGGCAGCTGCAGGCAATCACATGACCTCTGATTCCTCTGCTTGGGCGTGAAAGGAGAGGCTGGGGGTGAAAGGAGAGGCTCGGGCAGCCACCCCATTTTCACCCTTTGGAAAGTTCTGATTGAGTTCAATGCCAGAAACTGAAATACACTTTTGGTCCACTAGAGGGAGGAGCAGATAACTTGCTACTAATTTCAAAGAACTTTTAAGGTCACTTGACAAAAAAAAAAAAAAGTGACTCTGTCCCACTTATGTGTATTTATGTAACAGTGGTCTGATTTATTGTTCCTGTTACTTCAAGTGTAGCACTGCAATGGAAAAAGCATAAAGTTAATATTTAAAAGTTGATGTTATTGAACTCTGCTGACAAATGGTAGCACTCGTTTGCTGGAAGAAAGCACGTTGATAAAAATGGAAGCATTTCATGTAGGTGGTTTCAAATCATACATTGTTCGGTAAGCAGCTATACTAAGGTAGGTATCAAAAAAGGACAGCAGTTTTGGATACGACATGACAATGACCACAGCCTGTCCTAAACAACGGCCTGGGAGCCAATTTTGAATTGTGTTCTATTTGCTAAATTCCACCAGTTCTCCGACCCCCTCGAACATCAGCTGACACCTTGCTGAAGGGCCAACCCAGTTTGAGCTAATGCCCCGGCAGCCTCTGCGGATTGCGCACGCGCAAGACGCACATGCGCATGCGCACAGACGCGCTCCACTGGCCAACCGCAAGCGGATGGCTCACAGGGAAGGGGCTGGAAATCACTGGGGAGGCAAGAGGCCCATATTCAAATGATTATTCACTATGATTTTAACTTCACTTATTAAATGTTTTTCATATTTTCATGTTTATCATGCAGGTAAATTTCTTAAGAATTAATGAATTCTTAGACAAGAACAACGTTATTTAAAAACTGGCTGAAATGAAGCTGAATTCAAACGGTTTTTAAGATCATTGTAAAAGTGTTAATTCACAGTAAAAAATTCTAATGGGGGTTAAGAAGTATTCAGGTGCTTGACACCTAAGCATCCTTGTTCATCGGCAAAACATTCTGTTGTGTGACCAGTGTGTGACAAAAACACAAGAGATGCTGTAACTCACTTTTCCATCCTTGGAGGTGCCCGCGACCTGTCCTGTTGCTATCGTGATCTTATCCGGATGAACCGCTAGGCTAAAAAAAAGTCCATAAAATAGCTGCTGTTTAAGGGTAAACTTTATTTTTTCCTTGATCAAGTATAACCTAGTTGACAGTTTAAATATAAGAAAGACATAATGCCCAACTTCTTACGGACTCACAGTAAGCTGAGCACCCTGGTGATGCCAGTCAATGAGAGCTTATTTTGTTTCATCTTCATTCCTGCATCTCTAGAGGATTCTCAACTCAGGAATAAAAGTGGAAAATACCATTTCTATCTCAAAACCATTTAATTAGTCTGAAACTGTATTAAGAAGTCATTTTGAGTATATCGAATAGCAAAGACATCCTATAAATATGTAAATCCATTGTTTCATCCGTCTGTCCGTCCATCTATCCATCCATTCTTCCGAGATACATAAAACCCCACCAAAATCTATGAATAGGGGAACAGCAGACACAGCCATAAACATGAGGCAAGACATTTTAATTTTTATTAAAAAATAAAGACCCAAATTAGAAGCTGCTGGCACTAGATGTCTTCAGAAGGCTTCTAATCAAGGGTCAATTAGAGCTATCGGTTTAGGTACTATGGTTGGTTGAGATTATGTGTCATAAAGACAGAAAACTAAAAAGGTGTCTCAGGGAGCCAGGGAGCCGGTCAACAGCACAGAACATGGAGAAGAGCTCTCCCACGGACCCCACTCGCTCTCCCACGGACCCCCTGTGCTTCTCCTGAGACACGTCCCAATACCGAGCCCTCTGCTGACAGTGCTTCGCCAGTGTGGCACGAGCCTGAGTCTGGGGGACTCACCACTTCACGTCGTCATTGTGGCCAGCGTAGTGCCTCTGAAGCTGTTCCTCTACGTTGTACAGCACGACCACAGACGCGATGAAATACACCGTCTCGCCCGTCGGCAGCAGGTACAGGTTGTTCCGACAGTCTCGGCCCCTGTACCCGTAGCTTTGAGTGTGTCAAGATAAAACTTTTTTTCCTTGGAAGAGCTGACAAAGCATCAGCTTTATTCAACAGGCGATACAATTCTATAGATGACTACTATTACTCTCAGTTTCACAAGTTCAAATAACCTTAAATTGTACAATAACTAGTGCCAAATATTTCCATCTCCCTAAATAGGCTGTAAAGTTGGACATGGTCATTGGTTTAATGTGAGTACATATTTTTAATACAAAGATGTGGCTTTATTTTTAGAAAGCATGTATTATATTTTGAAAGCTGAATTTTTTAGCTTGATTAAAAATGGTAATTTATCTATTTTATTTACTGAAGGGAACTAGATCAGACATTTGTGAAGTCACTGGGAGATTAACTCTTTCCGATTTAGCCAGTTAATCGCGGACCTAGGAGTCACCCACAGGTCAGTGTTTTCGCTGAGCTGTTGGAGTTTTATGTGGGTCCTGACTTCCTCACCCCTCAGAAAGGCTGACAGCCGCAGTGTCCTGCTGCACCGCACCACCCTGACTCCAGAGTGAAGTCCCTTGGAGTTGTATTTCAATGCTAATTTCACAAATGTGCTGGACTACTGTGCACCAGATTTTCTCCTTCCTTTCCACTGCCTCTTGTGCAACATTTATCTGCAGTTACCACTTCTGCTCAGACCTACTCAGCTCTCACAAGAGTCCACGGTGCGTGAACTTTCCTTTCCCTTCTGAACCTCTGATCTCTCGAGGGCGGGGGCCTGACTCGGGAACTGGAATTAGAAGGAGCAGCAGGGCCAACCGAGTGTCCTTTGACACCTCTTCATGTTGTTGTCTTGAGACACAAACTTACAACCGGACACTGAAAAGGCCATTAGGCTGCGGATCAATGAGAGACACTTGGCCTGGTTCTAGGATCACGACTGAGAAATTAATCAAATCTCTATTCTAGTTTGTGTCACATGTAGCTTGTATGAAAAAAATACATCGGAAAATGATAACTACTGTTCCAAATATTTAGTGTGGTTATCAACCCTATTCCAAAAAAAACCTTTAAGCTTTGATAATTTTTTTAATTTTTAAAATTATTTTATTGTTGTTCAATTACAGTTGTCTGTATTTTCCCAAGCTTTGATAATTCTTTATGTTTTAGAATATTTTCAAAATATTTAAGACACTGATAATTGACTTTAACATGTTTAAGTCAATTTAAGTTTATTTTTAACTGTAATTTTGGAGCTAAATCTTTTTCATTATGAAAGTACTTGTAAAAGGTGTAGACCACAAACACACACATCTATGAGTATATAAAAGTTTAAAAAGTTAGGTCTTTCCTCCAACCATTCCCAGGTCCTTAGGATAATTACCTGTTAAGATTTTGGTGTGTATACTTCCAAACCTTGAAAACTATTAGGAGAGCAAAACATGTGAACTTACATGTGAGGAAATAGCCTAGCAAAATATACCACTTATTTGGAGCAAATACCACTGTTTCATATTTTCTAAAATATAAACAGGAGTTGGCTGAACACATGTGTGTTTTGGATAATGTTTTCCAGATCTGCTATAACCAATTTAACAATTATTGACTTAAAGAGAAACTAACTGAATCACTTCACTTCCACGCACTGAAATAAATCCCAAAATAGGGGCAGGAGATGCTTCTGACTTCTGAATCTGAAAAAATAAAAATATATTTGGGGGGGAGAAATTTAGGTACAGATGGTAATTCTAAAAAGTTTCCAAAGTATATGATTCCCTAGTTTCAAATACAGTAGCAATTCTTCCAAATGTAATTACACCAGCCTCAGTTTAAACCCATTTTGTGTAATTTGCATTCAGGGCTTTGCATTAAACTGGCATTCAATAAATATTTGTTTGAGGGTAAATGAAGGACTTTTGCTCTTTGTCTTAAAATCTGCGTGGCCTGGAAGGTGTCCTTCGCAGGCTCCTGCAGAGTAAAATAAAACAGTACAGTGAAGGAAAAGTAGCCTAGAGTGAAAAGTTAAAGTAAAATGCAAGGAAACAGAAAAACCCACACATAATCCAGCCTTTTTCTCAGCCCCGCTGTCCTGTCTTTTGGGGCCTTCTTGTCGGGACGACTTCACATTCCAAATCTCCTGCTACGGAGGCATGGGGTGCTCTGTCTCAAGAACAGTGGTCACATGGCTGACTCGGACGCTGTGGCCCAGGTTCTGGGCTGGGGGAAAGGCTTCCTACATTCTCAGAGGGGTGTTACATCTATGCTGCGTGGAGATTTCGTTTAGTGCATGGGTATTCACCTCTCTCACCCGCTCAGTGAGGCCAGATTAGCCTGGATGTGGGGCTCCCGTGGCCGCCACGCCCTACTAGGTTTGGGGGATCCGCATCCTTCCTCCCGGGCTATCGTTCTTTCTTCCTTTCAGCTTAGCAACTTCCTGCTAGCACAGCTTCGCTCTCGGATAGCCTCGCTTTCTCATTCCTAAGTTCAGTATTTTCTTGCATTTTGGCCGCTGTACCTTTCACAGTGTAAAGCCCTGGCTTTCCCACCATCCCCGAAGAGCTGAGTACAGATGGCTACTGCTAAAAATGATCAGCACTTTCGGTTTCATTAGAACCTCAGATTCTACCCACTGTGATTAGTTTGGCTAAATCTACTTTTCAATTAAGTTTTTAACTAACTTGATTCTGTCAGAAAAATTAAAATCCAGGCCAGAAACTAGTTGTGCATTTTCCCACAGCTGTCCAAAAAATAAAAAGTCATTCAGACAGCCACTGGCTGTCAGTCTTCTCCTTCCAGGAGGACGCTGCCTGTGCATCTGAGTGAGGACCAGAGACCCCCAGGGAGTGGCAGTCTGTGCTCTCCACAATCACTAGCTCTTAGGGAGCTACTCTGCTAGTCTCCCTGGGTGCTGACACAGAGCCAGTTTTGTTAAATTATGTTTTTTAAGTGGGAGAGTTTGTTTTTAGAAGCTTAAGAGGACTTAAGTTTTACGAATTTCTGTAGTTAAACATGAAGCCGAAAGCCTGAATTGGCTGAGGACCTCATGGAGGCCCAATGGATGGATGGAGGATACACCCACTCCAGCTTGAGCCTCTTGGTTGGAAGGTCCGCCTTGGCCTCCAGGCTGTAGCAGTCCACCTGGTCCCTGGGCAGGTACATGGTGACCGGGCGTCCGCGGAGGAACATCTTCACGTACCCTTCTTCTGCAAAAGGAACAGAGAGGGTGGTGAACCGCTCAGCGCCCAGGGCGCCGGCAGGCAGATGTGCGTTCTCCAGCGCTTCGGGGGGGACGTGCAAGCTTTACCCTCCGTTGTGTTGCCACTTCTAACAAACGGCCAATTTCCCCTCACGTGTTTCTGATGTTCTGCTGACTCAAGTACATAAAATATAGAAGAAGATGTAAAAAACAGGGGAGAACTAGGTTCTAGTCATTTTTCACGAGAGGTTTTGGTGCTTACATTTGCTTTATTGTTGCAATGGGAAAAAACGGCACCCCTCCCATATTATAACACAAAAAAATGCACTGAAACTTTTTACTGAGTTTAATGGATATATAATATCGATATCAAAATTTGTAAGGTGCCCTTCAATATTTAAATTGCGTTGTAATATCACAATGTAAAAATGTATCTTTTACAATGGACGCCCTGAATCAGAAGTACGTGCCAGGATGCATGCACCGAGGACAATGCTCGGAGAAATGCGAGAAGTGGAAAACGAAAGAGCAAAGGCCCGCTGGCGAGAAAAACTGAGAAATAAAACTTCACAGAGCAAACACTTTCTATTATGAAACATTATGAGTTATTTTACTATAATAACTTACGATGTTTTAGTAAATTGTGAGGACAGAAGCAAAACCCACTAGTACACCAACACGAGGCCACCCCAGGACTTTGAAAAAGAGACAACTTGGGGTTTCCTGGCTGCATTTCCAGGACATAATAAGACCCGAGAGAGTTCTGGTGGGCCTCTGATAAGTGTGGATTCAGAACTCCCTGCGCTTGGTGCCTCACCGCAGATCAAAGCACAGGGCTCTCATGGCCCTTGCATAGCGGGGCCGTCGGGACAAGGGAGATCTGTACGTCACTCACAGAAGAATCATCCGCAGAAGGCAAGCGGTGAGGAAACGCCACGAAGTCACTACAACACCGTTAGGTACCATCGTTACGGATTAGCTCTGTCAGTCTTGTTCCTAATTTCACACGATGCCGCATGCAGTGCTGCCTGCGCAGCCAGAGGCCATCTCAGCTCTGTTACTGTGCCCACACTGCAGACCCCAACGCATGCACGTGACACACTCTTCGCTCTGCAAGTGAAGCTGGACTTGGGACGAAAGACAATACCCACTCGCTCCTGTGCAGGGTGCTGGTCACCATGTCCGGGGATCCCTGTTAGAAGGCTCTCACTGGGCTCCCTCCCCCCCAGCTCCACTGGACTAGGCCACCAGGGGCCCCATCACAGCAGCCTCTCTTATTGGTCCCCTAGGCCATCTTATATTCTGCTACCACACCCATTAAGGCCAAAACTGAATTTCACGGATCTCTGCCAAAATCCTGCGCCTGTCTCTCGCTGTATGCTAAGGCCCAACGGCCCAGCCCAGCCACCGTACGTGGGTTCTCCTCTCTGGCCAGCCGTGTTGCTTTGTCACCCTACATGTCTGTCTTGCTCTGGGTCCCTACACAGGCTCTTCTCCTGGCCTCCAACCTCCTCCCTGTCATTATCCCTCACCCAGACCTAAGCACAGCAGACTGTGTGGCCCACTGAAAAACCTAAAAGCGCCCAGCAGACTGACAGACGTGAAGAGAAGGGACAGCGTGACAGCGCTTAGAGTTAACTCAGGGTGACCCCGTCCGCCCCCCGGAAGGGAGGAACCCCAGACTGCAGGTCAGGAGCAGAGAGAGCACAAAGCCACTTCTGCAGCACGCACAGAGCCCACGTGGCTGGATTTAATCCATGTGTATGAATTAAGTTTAATCAAAGCACCCTACTCGCGCATACTGTAGTGGGGTGTGGCGTACGGAGTCCTCACGACCGAGGCTTGCTTACTTACTCCACAGGCCTAAATGACTGGACTAGGCAAATAGCCACGGACTCAGCTTCGGCGTGGTTTCGAACTGGCAACACAGACGTCCTACATCTAAAATCAGAACGCAGCGAGGGGAAGCCATGGTTCATTCAGGCATGTTAGGGTGACAGCCACCAAACGCAGAGGTGCCGGGGGACGAGGCCAGCAGCGGTGCAGGAGACCATTTCAAACGGTGGACACCCAGGGCTCGTCCTATAGCTCTCTTAAGGTTTACACAGATTTTCTGGAAGTTCCTGTAATCGGCCAATAATCAATCAAGATCCAAATGACAGCTGCTGCTTTAAACCCAACCAAGTCAATGCTCAGTGGCTTAGCTTCAATCCAAGTGGTTTGCCTCGCAAAACCATTTTCATACAAGGAGAGAAGTTGTCTGCCTGTATGAAAACAGTTTCTGGAGCCTGGGCCACAGCTTTGCTCAGAGAGCTATGAGGTTTCGGAGAGGCGGCCTACCTTCACAGTGTGTCACCCGGCGCTTCCCGTGAGATTTCGGAGACAGGGACAGAAGGGCTAGATAAAGAGACGTGGAGCGCTGCAGGGGGCCTGCCTGCCTGCTGCAGGGCGCGCACTAGTTCTCGTGGGAGGTGCCCCCGGCCCCTGGCAGAGAGACCGGGGCGCGTTTCAGGGATCCCGACAAGTAAGCCTCGCTCCGCGGGCTTATGGTCAGTAATGGTCAGTAATTTCATGCTCCCTGACAACGAAATAAACACTAAAGCTCTTGCTGATAACCCCCAAACTCTGACTTCTATGTTTCAGTTCTGAATTAAAGGAAGAATCTGGGAAAACTAAAATTAAATGAGTGGATTTAACTAACTGCATACTTGTCAATTGTTTTGCATTTCAAGTGCACTTTTAAGTAAGGCTGATATTCTAAAAATAGCATCTACCTTGTGAAATGTGTTACAAAAAGATCCACGGGAAGAAAGGTCTGTGTGAACTATCAGTGTGCAGGTTAGGAAATCAAAGAGGAAAAGGGAAAAGGCTACTTCTAGACAAGTTGTAACTTGCTGCATCCGGAACTTTACTTTTCAGAGAAACGCAAATATTGGCGGCAGGAGCCCGTGAGTGGGATGGACAGAGGCAGCAGCAGTCTGGTAACTAGAAATCCCCAGCAGGGGGGCTGACCTGTGGCCCGCAGGCCACGTGTAGTAGCCCAGGAGAGCCGTGAACGCGGCCCAACACTAAATTGTAAATTTACTTAAAACATTATGAGATTTGTGTGTGTGTGTGTGATTATGTGTTGCTGTGTACCTAACGTGTGGCCCAGAGAAGCCAGAGGCTGGACACCTCTGCGGCCTACAGCATTGGTCGTGGCCTCTCCCCTCCGCCTTACTGACGTCACTTGAATCGGTGTTCAGAGGGGGTCAGTAAAGGTTTAGTTTTTATGACCGTTTTATGGACAGCCTCTACGATCGGAGTGGTGATCCCCCGAAGTCCCCAGGGACCAGCGGATAGCTGGCCCCTGAAGTCCCGCGTGTCAAGAGCTGGCCCCCGGAGCAGCTGCCTCAGGTCCCAAGGAGGTGAGTGAGGGGCACCCGCACGAAGGTCACGTCAGACTTACCAGGGCTGAAGACGGGCTCCTTGGGTTTGCTGTGGAGAAAAGAAAACCAGATGTTAAAGGGAGGCTCACTGCACGCACCTGAGACCCGTGCACGACTGCGAGCTGGTCTGTTGCAGGGGTGCCAGGTGAGTGGCGCGCATTAACAAGAAGAACAGAGCCCAGTAACTGCAAAAGGGAGCGGCTGCGACCCAGCACCCAAAACAGCGCAGAAGGCTGCGGCCCCCACTCCACCCCAAAGATGGGCCTTCCTTGAGCGAACGAGACCTGGAGAAGGAGAACATCTGGTTCATTGAGAGGGCAACCGCCCTGCCTGAAGGTGTCGGTTCGGTTCTTCCCATGCGCTTCTGACACATTGTTTAAAGAACTTACATAAAACTAGCGGACTCCTGACAGAGGGTGCTTTGGAGAGGAATAGGGAAGAATGGGGGGCACCTCACTGGAGGTGTGGGGGCACCACTGTAGACTTTGTCTAGGCTGAGACCACCCCCTCACCACACCGGGGAAACCAAACCCCCAAAGGCTTCGAGGTCGGGCCACAAATGGACTGAGGTCACCCCCAGGGGCAAGCTTTCAACAGAGCAGGCTGGCAGAAGGAGTCCACGGACCACAAGACACAGCCCTCCTGTGACAGGCACCGGTGGGGACCTTGCCCTGCTAGACAGGGAACGGGCGCTCGGGTGGGGCAAGAGTGTGACCATTCGGACACAGAGCCAGTGCCAGACCCTGAGTCTGAGCGGCTTTAGCGTTCACGCTGTGCTCACGGGGCCCCTGGCTTCTCGAGGGGCCCCTGCTCTCAGACACACAGCAGACACTGATAAATGCACGCACGCCCAAGGGAGCCACACGGGACTCGAGCCTGTAGAGGAAGGTGGACCTCACAGGTCCTCTGTGTGCCCATGTTTAAAAAATACACCTGAGCAGACAGCACCCTAGCACCACTTTTCTCCTTCACTTTGAACTTGAAATACTTTGAGAGACTCCACCAGGAAAACCGCCCTTAGCTGCATGGCATAGTAAACAGTGTCCCGGGTGGCCGGGTGATTTCACGCAGCCCAGGGGGCCCTGCTGATGCCACAGAGGCGTCGGCACCCTGGTCGCCTGTGCTTTCCCAGGCTGCATCTATGGGAGGCGGAGTTTCCTGCTCGCTAACCACTGGTCACTGAACACGGCGCTCGGACCGCACGGCCTATTAGCGGGAAAGCCCCAGGCTGACACCAGCCTACAAGGCCCTGAACACCTACTGACCCCTTGGCACTTCCTCCCCAAGTCACTGAGCGCAGACACCTTGTCCCTGGCACCTGCCAGGAGCTCCTGTGCCGGCTCTGCCGCAGCTGCCCCTGCTCTTGGGGCCAGTTCCAGGGCCGGTTACAGTCCCGCCCATGTGGGGTCTGGGCTCAGCCATTCCCTGGCGAGGCCCTCTCTGAAGTTCCACTGTACATGCTATGCAGGCGCTGCCCCTGAGCCCCCCAGTTCATTGCTTCTCCCCACTAGGAGGAGGTGAGTGCAGGCGGGAGGTGCTGGGCTCCGCTTGGGCAGTGTCGGTGCCTGGAACCTGGTGAGGTCTGAGCCCGAGCCGGTGGGAAGAAGGGCTGCCTCCCAGCAGAGAAGCAGCTGCCTGGTGTCTGGTGTGAGGCCCTCGGTCCCCCAATCGGGCCCAAGTCCACCCTGACGCCTCTCGGGGGCCTGCGCAAGCCCAGTGTGGAGGACTTCTCTCGGTTCTCTGCTCTGCCCCAGACGACTCGGGCCTGTGGGCCTGGGCCTCAGACAGGCGTCTTTCAGCAGTTCCTGCCCTGCCGGCGCCTCGGTCTGAGCTCACTGAGGTCTGCGGGAAAGGGGGTGTGTGTGGAGGTCCCCTTGTGCCCGGGGGTCTGGAACTCTGAGGTCCGCACTCAGCCCTTCCGGATTCTCCGAGCTTTCTGCCGCTGCCCTGTCCTCCCGGCCACGGGCCTCCCTCCTCTTCCAGCCTGTTGGAGATAAAGGTTGCCTCGGGGCCGTCTCCCTAAGCCAGGCTTGTCACTTTTTGGACTTGAGTTCATCGCATTAAACTTGGTCGGTTTAAAACAGTTGCAATTTCGTAGACTACCTGGCTTGTTCTCACTGTTGGGGGTTCTGGGGGGGCAGATAGCGACATGTGTATGATTTTCTAAGCAGAAGCACAAGCCTTCACTCCAAATTTCCTGTATTATTAGATTCCCGGGCAGGGCAAGGACACACGGACACAGGACGGAAGCTGAAACAGGAGGCGGCAAAGCACACACCACAGAGACACGACACCGGGGACGCCAGGCAGGGCGTTGGGAGACAGGAATCTGTTCTTTCCACCTCGGCTCTGATCACAGGAGGAGAAAGACATGAAGCCACACACACAGAAACAAGACGCCCAGCACCTGTCCTGGGGCATGGAACGCGCAACTGCGGCTTCCGTCACCCTTGGAAAGAGAAGCCCACGGGGGCACCTGAACGCCAGCACACGGCGCCCGTGGGCTTCCCTCGCTGCGGCGGTGCCGGAGGAGGTGGGAGGGCCCCCCCTGCGGAGCAGAGGAGCAGGCCTGTGTGTGCCACCCCAGGTCGCCCAGAGAGGGGCCAGGTGGCTCTGCAGTGCTCACGTTTCCTAACTCTCTCCCTCAACTCCGCATCATTTTAGTCTGTTATATTGAAAAACATACGACTACTATGTTGCATTATTTTAGAAAGTTACATTTGTACAGAAAAAAATACTACGTTTACTTTAACATCCCTTATCCCCGCCAATGCACCAAGGGTGCCTGGGAAAAGGCAGTTCCACACGTGTGTGCAAGTCTTACAAATGCACACCTGTAACACAACGATGAGTCTTGCCAACCACGGAGAGAAGGGCAAACCCACAGAACGTGTGAGGGTAACGATGACCCAATACTGTGGGTGCTCATCACCACCAGTGACCTGGAGCCACACCCTGGACATGCGTCCTTTTCAGAGCTCACTTTCAGGAGCATTGAGAGCGGGCCCCTCACGCCCAGCAACCTGAGAAATGTGTCCGTGTCTGGGCTCTGAAAGCACCCAGGACACCACCTCTCAGGGTGTCACGTGACTTGTCTCTGATTACCCACTCCTTAGAGCGAGCTCTGTGGAGAGATTTGGCAGCCCGGGTGTGGTTCTGTGTGGGCAGGGGATGGGCTCTGGGACCCGAGGAGACTCCGTCCATCCCTCTCTGAGTGTGGAGCCTATACACGTATCGTCACTCTACTGCCAAGCCTATAAGAGAAGCCAGCTCAGAGGAGAGGAAGGGTTTCCCCTTGGTGAGCACACCCTCCACTCTTGGCTATTCTGACAGCTGGCTGCCGCCAATATCTGCAAAGTGAACAGTGTTGCAATCCAGGGCAGCTTTTACTGCTGTGTTTTGGCAGGAAGGGCATTGGCTGGAGGAGCTGGCTTACACTCCCCTGGACTGGTGGGTTCAGGGGACTCCCCTAAGCCTCTTGTAAGCACTAAGCAGGAGCTGGGGACTCCTGGAGGATGCAGGTAGCCTGGAGCCTTCACCGGAGCAGTGGCTGGATCTGGAGGCCAGCAGCAGAAAACCAGGCAGTTGGGGCCAAGAAAGACTCCCTCCCTCACACCCACAAAGCAGCTACAGCCGTCCTAGCCACGTGCCCCCAAATTCCAGCAAATGTTCACTGTGGACCTTGGGCGCAGGGGCCATCTCACTGCAGCTGGTTTCCCTTTCATCTGATGGGACACGCACTTGCCACACTGCAGACTGACCGTCTGGGACACGTCCAGACCCGGATTCCTGAGCGTCCTCTGACCTCTTCCTCTGTGTGGGACCACACAGCACCTTTGCCTCCGTCACCCAACTTACCCAAGTTGCTGAAAAGGGGCTCAGGGGGCTCCGGGGGCCCAGCCCCGGGCACATCAGGCCTGACACACAGGTGACTTGTGCACAGGGATTTAGGGCAGAGTCGGTGGGGGCCAAAGGCTGTTCCAGCAGGGATGCTTGCTCCTGAAAATGACTGGTAAGGGTCAACACAGGAGACCACTGCGAAGTCGCACATCTTGTTTCCCAGCGTCTTAGTCATTTAAAAACATCGGCCCTCAGCGTACAGTCTGCGCCTCCTTCTGAAAAGGATTCTGTCCAAGAAATAAAATCCTGCTGGAAGTCAAAACACTGCACTATGTCAACAAAGATGCTTTACATAAATTGCCCCAACCAGCTTTTTACTAGAAATAGGGTCATTCAGGAAACACCTATTTAAAGTGTTTAGAAGTCACTGTAGACTCTACCGGGGACAAAAACTGCTGCTTCGTAGACACTTCCGGTGGACACTTCCGCCGACACTTCCGGCGCACCGTGGGGGCGGAGCACAGACGTGCAGACGCCAGACCTGCCGGCCCACCCATCGGGCCAGTCGCTTCACCCCCACGAGCCATAGTTTCCTACTGCTATGGAAACTCAGTGGGGAAGCCACCGCTGAGAGGTGTGGGGCTTTGGCAGAACCAACTAAACTGGGTGACAAAGTGCCCAGGGCATGGTTACCAATTAATATCACTTCCCTGTCCCTAATTGCAGTGACAAGAGTCTGTATGTATTTTCGGGCTCTTCACCTAAGAGCCTCAAAACAAAACAACATGAAGAATATTAGCAATTACTATTTTAACGTTTATTAAAGGATAAATGACCCCAGGCCCTGAAGAATGAAGTAATTTCATCAGTTAAAAATAAAAGGGCCTAATTTGAATCATTTAATTTCCACAGAGATCTGTTTCAGGATCTAAAATGTAGTGTTAAAATCATCCACCAGTAGGTGGTAGTGTTTACATACTTCTTAAATGGTTTTAAATTAAATAGATAATATCCTTTCACTTGGTCAACGGATATTGATTGAGCAATTACTGTGCGCCAGGCACTGTGCAAAATGCTAGAGATACAAAGAATAAGAAGTCCCTCAGCTTGTCCCTCCTCGAGTGTGGGGGTGAGGAGGGACAGGAGAGTGGGTGTGGGGGGTGGGGAAGGAGTTCAGGCCCAGAGCCACCTGACCCGTACCTGGCTCAG